GAGATAAAGTGTCGAAAATATTCTTTCGGCATAGAGTTGAAGCACTCCGTCTGTCCTTTAAATTGTGGGTGAAAACTAGAATTCGTGCTCAAAGTTGAACCAAGAAGTTTGAACAACTTGGTCCAAAATATGCAGTGAATCGTGGATCCTGATCACTGACGATTTCCTTAAGCAGTCCCCAGTATTTGACAATATGTTTGAAGAAAAGTTGAGTTGTCTCTTCAGCTGATACATACTTAGGCGCTGTGATGAAAGTTGAGTATTTCGATAGACGGTCTACCACGACAATAATAGTGCCAAAATTTCCAACTTTTTGCAATCCAACAATATAGTCCATCGATACACTTTTGAATAGTCTAGTTAGGATGGAAAGGGGCTCTAGCAAGCCCGTCTTTTTCTGATAATATGTCTTATCTTACTGACAAATAAGACAAGTTTTCACATAAGTTGCAGAGTCGTCCCGCATTTGAGGCCAAGTAGTATGCACATTGTAGTAGTACAGCAGTGCATTCCTCTCCGAGATGCCTTGCCCAAATAATATCGTGGCACTCTGTGATTAGTGATTTTCTCAAATCTCCACCCCTAGGAATATAAAGGCGGTCTCCATTAGTCTTCACTAGACCCCCATCGAGCCAAAACTGACGAGTTTTACCTTGGTTGATGAAGTCGATCAAATATTGAGTAACTAGGTCCTTATCTAAAAGTGCCCGAATTTGGTCAATTGTATTTGTGGAACTGTGTTCTCTGAAAGAGCAGCATTGAGCAGATGGTGGTCAAGTCAGCCCAGTGACTAAAAGCATCGGTAACATGATTGCTAGATCTGGGACGATACTTTAGCATAAAGTTAAACTCTGAAATAAGTTCCTGCCTACAAGTCTGTTTGCTTGATAGTTTCGGTTGGGACATAAAGCAACTAACCCCAGTGTTATTTGTCTTCACAATAAATGGAGACCCAAGCAAATAGTGGCGTCATCCCCTAAAGTAATGGATTACGGCCAATAGCTCATTTTCGTGCGCCGGGTAACGACGTTCTGCTTGATTCAGCTTTCGATTCTCATAAGCTACCAGATGTCCTTCTTACATAAGGACTCTACCAAGTGTAAAATCTGAGGCATCGGTATGCACTTCGAATGNAGATGTCCTTCTTACATAAGGACTCTACCAAGTGTAAAGTCTGAGGCATCGGTATGCACTTCGAATGGTTTTGCCATATCCGGTAAGGCTAACACTGGGTTCGTCCACATGGATTTCTTCAACTTTTCGAAAGTATTTTGGCATTGGAGTGACCAGTCTCAATCATTATCCTTCTTTGTTAACTCGATAAGTGGCAGTACAATTTCTGAGTACCCTTTCATAAATCTTCGGTAGTAATTGCATAACCCGAGAAACAAACGTACATCGTGTACATTTTTCGGTGGTTGTCAATCCTTGATGGATGTAACCTTCATTGTATCCATGAGTACTTTACCTTGTTCGATGATGTGACCCAAGAAAATGTTAGTCGTCTGAGCGAATGAGCATTTAGACGATTTGGCGTAGAGTTCATTCTCTCGTAGCCGATTGAAAACCTGCCTAACATGTTCCTCTAATGTTTCGCTATAGATGACTATGTCGTCCAAGAACACCACCACAAAATCGCCAAGACTCGTGAAGTACCTGATTTATCATCGTAAAAAATGTTGCTGGAGCGTTTGTCAAGCCAAAAGGCATCACCTTAAATTCAAAGGCTCCATATCTAGTTACCACCGTAATTTTTGCTTCATCTCTCTCTTTGATTTGAACTTGCCAGTATCCAAACCCGAGATTGATCTTTATATAATACCTCGCACGGCTCAGTCGATTGAAGCAACCCACGACCAGTGGAATAGGGTAGTTATTCTTCATGGTGATCTTATTTAAGGCTCGATAGTCACAGTACATTCTAAGAGAATCATCGACCTTTTTCTGAAACAACACGGGAGCTCCATATGGTGATTTCGCTGGCACGATAATCCCACTTTCTAACATTTCTCCCAATTGTTTCCGAAGCTCTTCAAGCACCGGCTGAAACATATGATAGGATGAGCTCAATCTCGTGATCGATTGCCCTCCTTGGTGGCAACTTCTTTGGTAACTCATCCGGCATAATGTCCTCAAATTCCTTAATGAGCCTTCTGACTGGCTTTGGGATATGACCAATTGCCTCATCGATCTCCTCTAATTGAAGAGTGCACAAAAATAAGGGTTCATTTCTTTTGAAACCTTTATCAAATTGCATGACCGAGATACTCTTCTTGCCCATCTTCCTAGCTTGTATCGTGATGATGCACAGTATACTACCCATCATCATTAATGAATCTAAATACGGCAGCACTACTGTCTTAGTATCCTGAAGAAACTCCAATCCTAAAATGAGCTTGAAGTCATCCATTTAAACTGTAGACAAGTTTGTCCTTCCTTCGAAATGACCTACTTTGATTGATACAGATTTCACTACTCTCGTTATTGGTTGAGCAGTAGAGTTGATTGCTTTAACCTTCTCATTACCTCTTTCCAGGACAAGTCCGAGCTACTCTACTTCGGTACTTGCGAGGTAGTTGTGGGTAGCACGGGTATCACCATAGCCTTGATTGGCTTTCCATTAATCTTCACATCAATGTACATTAGGCATTTGGCTCAACAAATATGAGCATTTGAATCTTCCATCTTTACATTTTTCGAGGGAATATCATCATTTTTAGTAGTTCGGTGCGATAGTGTATTGTACCGATGTGAGAATGCAATCATCTTCGAAGTCGGTCTCACCGTGACAGCTAGCTTGTAGGACATCTTGTCTTGAACTTA